CGCAGTAGATGTAACTGGGCTGAGTTGACGAATGGTTGACGTCTTATAAAGGCGGTTGAAAGTGCAGATTTGAAGATGAAGTGACCCAAAGACCAATCCTAAGAAACCCTTAAGCCATCTTAAGCCTAGCTAACCCTAACCCCTGAAGATCTGAAGTTGACTTTCATGAAGCTGCTTCGGAAAGAAGGCGTAGGGGGCCCCTTCAAACCCAAACTAAAAGTTTTGACTCTGACTGTCCCATTTCTGCGGAAAAAACATGATGGACACCACAGGAAGATACTTTTACTATCCTTTACTGCATCGCCAAATTGGCCATCACTTGACCCTGAAACAGCCCCAACGGCTCATGACATGTTCCCACAATTTGTATACATGTTCACCTATACTCAAGCTTGCTTCTCATCTCCGCCACCCCCGCCCCACCCCTTCACTGGATCCAAGTCCTCGTGTTCCGAGCCCCGCGCAGCCACCGACCGACGTGCGGACGGAGCGTCGACCGACGCGTCCCACCCGACCGACGAGCGCCGCGGGCTCCTCCGCGCGAGGCACGGTGGCCTCGCGGCTCCTGGTGGAGCTGGGCGTCGCGACGCCCGAGGAGGCGCTGCGCCGAGTGCGCGCCGCGCGGCCGGGAGCGGTCGAGACCTGGGACCAGGAGAGATGCGTGGAGAGAGTGGGTGGGGGAGGAGCCGCAGGGGGGGTTGAGATATAGACGCTCAGATGGACATAGGCAATATATAGCAATGTAGATGATGTAGAGATATAGAGATAGATATAGACAAAGCTAGATAGATATTCTGTAGTGGCATTGGCATTGGAACAACGATTGCATCGCTGAGAAGGGTGTAGAGAGGAGATTTGGCCAACAGGACCCCCTTGTACCAAGTCACGGGGTTGTGCTTTTGTTTTCATGACTAGCCTTAGATTCTGCAGATGTTGTGGATAGAACGCTTTGGGGAGCACGGAATAACGGCAGCTCCTTTGGTGACCAGTTGCAGTGAGGGTTTGCTAGCTTCAATCATGCAAGTTGATACTACTAGATAGTTCATGACAGATTTACGGGAGGCTTCAGGACTTAGATAGACTATGACAGACCAAATCTTTCTACCTTCACATCCGATCATTTAGCAGCTGACACATGTTGGAACAGATTTGAGGCCTTTGAACATCGACGTGTTCCTTCGATGCACTCAGCTGCCTGCAGGAGAACCATGTGCTGTCCTTGAAGGCTTTGCCACCAGAGGAGTGAACAAAAACCACTCGATTGGTGCGCTGGGTTTTGACATGTTTTGACAGCTGGGTGATGGAGTTTCTGGCGCGCCAGATTTTCGGTGTTCCTGCCCCAAATAAACAGTTATTTGATGATACTTTGATCCCAAAAGAGATCCAACATGTTCCAAAGACCTTCTCAGGTGCGGTACGCCTGGACCCTCCAAGCTTCGCAAAAGGATCTCCAATGACCCTCTCAAAGGGGATCGTGTTTTTCCTTCGACCTGCCGTTCCGTGGCACGGCGTCACGCGACCAGCCTGGCTGGTCGCTTCGTCCCGGCCGTGCATGTGACTTTTGGGCTTCGTCCCGACTGACTTCCTCCGTTCGTTCGACACCCCGTGGGGACACGGTGACTCCGACTTCCCTTGGTGAAGCCACAAGTCGGGTGGAGCGGTGGACCTTTGACTTCCATGTTACCCCCGAAGCTGAGGCCTTTCATCGGCCGGGCAACCCAGATGTTGGAGGCCAATGGCCAAGGAGTTGAAGTCTGAGACAGCGATCTTAGACACTGTAGGCAAGCACATTTGGGCCGATAGACATGCACTCTTTCTTTCATCCTGGGAGTGGAAAATAGGCCACTGGAAGACTGGACCCGGCCCTCCAGAAAAGACTTTCCAATTGTGAGTCACTGAATCACTCCAGAAAGAGACGCTAAAAAGCAAAGTCGGTCGGACTGGTGCGAGGAGGGTGCTGTGATGAAATGAGACATGCCACATTGACACACTTTGACACACCCACATCCCATAAGGAGGTAGATAAAGGCCATTAATGCATGGGGCAATAGATGGCATAGTCCCCCAAAGGCGCCCATGGGATGTTTTTGGCCACGTTGCCCTTTGTGTGGGGACTGCTGTCACCCAAAAAAGACACCCGCAAAAAGGGGTCATGCCGTAATATGGCAACGGCTTCGAGGTGCCCTTGGATTGCCTCTTGAGCAGTTTGCACGCATTGGACTATGCGCGGATGCCGAGATAAGCAGAGGGGAGAGACAAACTGGTAAGGTATAGCACTTCCGTTTGAAGTCCTCGGTTTCTTCACATCGTGATTGGTTGTGTTTAAGTTGTTTAAATATTGGATTTGTTCCCACTCTTGTGTGGCGACAGCCCCTCAGAAGCAGGCAGCAAAGATTGGGACCAGTATACGTTGAACGTGGATCAGACATGACTCCGGCTTTCGGGGCAGGATTCTTGTAGGGCTCAGCTTCAAAGGTGCCCTCTTCGAACTCCAGAGAGTCAAAGACATCACGAAACCCCAGCGACATGGTGTCACTCTTTGCCCCTGAGGCCAATTCAGCAGGCGAGCGCGTGGCTCCTTGCTGAACGGTTGGACCAACACGGTTGTGACACATGACAGATATGGGCGAAAAACTGTTGCGACGACGCCTTCGAAGTGAGACACGTTGTGGAGGAGACCGAAAAGGTGCACTCACTTTGGGTTCAACAGCTACACTCAGCCTCATGTAAGTCAAAGGCTTCATGTAAGACTAGGCAAACGTAGGTCATAGTTGCGGGAACGTTTGGACAATATGGAAGTAGACATGATTTGTTTGGCTTAGTTTTAGTTATAGTTGAAACATGTCCGGAACATGTTAAGGAAACCATGTTCACCCTCGCATACCGAAAGGCGCTCATGTGTTTTTTTAAACATGTTCTTCGAAGAGATTTGCCCCTTGGACTTCTATGCGGGGCACATGGTGATTTTTTTTGCATGGATGCATACTCAGTCCGTGGGTAACCTTTAACCTTTATCGGTGTTCGTTTGCCGATGTGAGTGTGAGTGGGAGTTTCAATAAGATGACATGTGCATACTGCATACTACGTGCGTTGTGCGTTGCGCTGCGTTGCGCTGCGTCGCGTGGTGTTGCGTCACTCGGCATGTACATAAAAAATAGGCCCAAATAGCATTTATTGTGACGTAACTGTAGCAGATTGTATGTTGCAGTGGAAGCTCCTTTAATCTAAGACTTATAGTCTATATAATTAGTAGGTTCTAAGGTCTTGACTGGTTCTAAGACGGTGGACTAGGTCCGCGTTTCTGCATGTCCCCCAGATGTCAACTCAATGAAAATACTGTGTTGCATTCGATCGGATTCTCATCAAATTGTCATCGTCAGGTGTGGCACCGGCAGAGGCCTACGAGGAGTCGTGTCTTGTTCCCCCGGAGAAGACCAGTTGCCCATTGCTTTAGAGGAACAGCCGGTTTGGAACAGAGTGACCCCTTGAGGATGATAGGTGATTCCAGGCGAAGATGCTTCGCTGTCAAAGATGCTAAGTGATGCCACCCTGTTAAAGCCCAAGCCATAGTTACCCAAGGGCTTTCAGCTGCCTGTTGATATTTGTTTCAGGTGCAGTTTCGAGAGAAAAAGGTTCATTTGTTTGTCATCCTGCACTAGATGCGGGGTCAAACTTATTGCCGACCACGATCCCAAACTGTTCCAAGATACGTTGGAATCCTTTTAGCACATCAGGAGCCAAAAAACAGATTCACCAAACACCAGCATTCCTTCCCTATATACGTACCATCTCCATTCCATAGTTGCCCCAAATTGATCTCATGTCACCTTGATCCTACCGTTCAGCTTGACCCTCGAGTAGGATCTCGCACTTCTAGTAGGAACTCACAGGTGGGTTTTCTCGTTCAAAGGTTCGTTTGCAAATTGCATCGTCGGCTTCTGTCGGATGGAGCACGGAGCAGGGTGCCAGTGCATGGCGTATGTCAGCCATACCTATTTCAGACCTCAAAAACATGGCATCTCGCAAAGGGGTGATGCGGTGACGCAGGATCTCAAAGATAGACACAAATGCCTACATGATCCTTCTTAAGAGGGAATGCACTTTCTACCTGTAGTTTGGGCTGCTAGAGCCATCTACAGCCTTATTTCCGAGGAAGTCTCAGTTTACCGTCGCCTGGAGGTCGGATAGGTGGGTTGAGTTGTCCCGAGTCGGCATCAATAGCACCCACCAATTAACTTAACCCTGACAGCACCGACCGATGAAATTCCAATTTGGGCTGGAAAACATTTAGCTAAGTAGATTTTAACATATATATATATATATCAATTTGTTGCGCACACCCTAATTAGGCTTATACCCAAAAAGCATTGTATCATGATCGAACGTTATGCCAGAAAGGTGTGCACTTCTTTTGGTTTGCCATTGTTTTCTTTGCCGGCTTGCTGTCACCCAGTGCTTTGACAAAGTGTCTTGGAGCCCAGTTCTGAGCCTGGCTTCAATTTTTGTTGCTTTGGCCCGAGACTCTTTCAGACGTCAAGTAAAGAAGACACAACATGACACACAAACTGATTCCACTGGCACCAGCAAACAACAAAAACAGGAACAATTCAACTGATACAAAGGGAATGACCCAGTGCCGGCTGCACCAAATGAAGGAACGCTGGGCGGCACATGGCGAGAGTGTCAAATCAACGCTTGCAAGCTAGCGATGCAGCATCACAGCAGCATCACAGGGCCTTCCAAATGGAGGATGCCCACATTTAACCCCATTTCAAGTGACAAAGAGGGGTTGATGAACGTATTTGTCCACTTATTTGTCCATATTCATCCAACCAAGAACCCGACTCCACGTCCCAGCCATGACTCGCTTTGACCAGTCAGGCATGTCCCGACTCTCCACCCACTACGGCTGGCAAACCGGCTAGGTGGATCAAACAGAAGATGCGGAAGATGTTCCTATTTTTTTTCTGTGAAACACCTTAGCCTACATCACTCCAAGTCCCACATTTTCCGGTAGCACCTCTTGGTGTAGCATGCGCTGCTGGGCTGACGCGTTTTTGCCCGACGTTGTCCGGCGACCCAGTTGGAAAAAGTTTCCAGCCTGGAAGTTCAACAGAACAGATATGAGGATTTAAACAAATCTATAGTGTTCACAGAGACGGCTCAGGGATGAGTCATGCCCGCCAGAGAGCGAGAGAGAGAGAGAGAGAGAGAGCGAGAGAAAGAAACAGAATCTATAGTGTGGGTCGCCCCCCGGTTCCTTTAAGCCTGTAAAGGGCAAGGGGGGACTAACCATGCACATCTCCAATGAGTTCCTACAATTGAGGAGATGAAGAGATTCGTGGCTGCTTTGCCCATCCCCCATGTCCCTCGTGGATCCGCTGGTCCGTTTAGGTTGGTCATGGCAGAGGTCGGGCAGAGAGGAAATGGGCCGGCGGGGCAGAGAGGCCGTTTTTGCATGGCATCGGTGGGTTGGCGATGTGTTTGGGATGTGCTTGAACTTATGTACAGAAAAAACGCACATCTCTTTGGTACCAGATTTGACCAACTCTCCCTGGTCGGGCGGGTGAAGACTAGGCTTCCCGACGTCAAACAAGTCCAGGCCTGACCCTCTTATATGATTATAGTTTACTCTACATTCTGGCACACTGTGGGCCAGAATGTGGGCTAGCGTCCCACACTAGGCGAAACACCTATGTACAGTGACTGGGATCTATGCAATAAGGGATGCCAAGCAAAGTAACAACCAGCCAACATTTGTTTGTCGTCTTCCATTTTCTTTCAACACTTGGTTCAAACAGTGACACGCCTATTGATCACCTTGGACAGCCTTTGTCTACCGAACTGTTCCATATTAAGAACACAGGTGATGAACTGAATTGCTCATGTTCAACCTGGAAAGAAATGGTCTGTCGATGTCTTCAATCGATCATGCCAGGTGATTCGGCTCTTGGATTTCCGGATGTACAAGACGGAGACTGCGGCTCCTGGGGCCATTTGGGGCACCCCTCCAGGGCCCTGGAGAACGACCGATTTTCCCATATTTTCCCTCATTCCCATTGCTGCCTTTGGATGAATAAAGCAATTTCATGCGTCCCTGCCAGAAAGGAGTTTTACCCCCGCCATGTCGCACAGATGGAGAGTTCGATTCATCAACAGTCAGCAGGCACAAGCGGAATGAAGAGGATCCGGCTCATGACTCTTCTTGAGCAACACTCCGCCAGCGATGAGGTCTATTACAGCTTGCAACTCAGCAACGGCCGCGAATGCTGGATGGTCCAACGTCGCTACAGTGAGTTCCTCAGGTGGGGAAGACGCTTCCACCGCCACCGGCCAGGGCCGGCGGCGGTGTTGTCAGAACTGGGGCAGAAATGGGAGCGACCAGGGAAGTGTGGATTGGTTTTAATTTTGTTGGAGGACCATGTTCCGAGGACCAAACAGGTGGTGAACTCCACTTCCATGATCATTTCAGGGGTTGTATACTCTTTGGGTGGCTTTTGGTCCAAATCTCAGCAGTGGTAGTTGATGGGGTTAGCCCAAAAAGAGGCCTCGAGAATGTCTGGCCAGCGGGCAGGGGAAGATTTGAATTCGACCGCTTTTGGAGCAACCAAGATCGAAGCCATCACACTCCAAACATGACACTGGCAAGAGTGTGGAGGCCAGAAATCACATGATCCCCGAATGATACCATGCCCATCGGCGCGGTCGATTCGGCGCGCCTGGCCCGGTCATCCCGGGCGCAGATGCCACGTGAAGCTCCTGGAGCTTTTCACTCGAGAGCAGCTCCCCAACCTTCCACCCAAGGCCCCGTTTGTTCGGCTCGGCGAGCCCCTGGGGGGTCGAGCCTCGCGGGGCGAGGAGCGGGTTTCAGCAAGGGCGCCCATCAACCACCACTCTACTGTAATTAGCTGCATGCTCGTATTGGGGCGGAGCTGAGGTGGGGGGCCCAACAGTTTTATGAAGATGTTTCTCAGGAAAAGTCCTGGTGGGTATACTTATTCTAGGCACACCTGTTTTTCATGTTCATGAATGTTCATGAGACATTTTCCAGAGAACTTCCAATATACTAATCATGGACGTGGATCATGGACTGGACAAACTCACCATTTGTTGCAGTGGGATAGCTTGGTCCGTTCCAACTTTTGACCTTTACTTTCACGTCCACATTGGTCATGATCACTCTCATTTCATCCCCGAGACGCAGCCCACCCCGAGACCGGCTGCGCCCACGCGCCCATGTGTCCGGCCCCACACCACATCCGCCCTATACCGGCGCCTAACCCCTTGGTGCTTTGCCAGACTTACACTACTAATGGGACTGCCATACTGGCACTAGCCCAACTCTTCGGTTGGAGGCCATCGCTACTAGCTTGGCCCTACTCCCTCCCACTTCCAGCCTCGACAGTCCCAGGTGGCGTGATCTGTAAATATGACAGTCCCCTGGAATGACAGTGTTTGGGTATACCTTCCTGCCTCTGTAAAACGGTGCGCGGTGGCCACCGGCCCGGAGCTCAAGCGCCTATACGCCAAGCGTGACAAAGGAGCCCTTCTGGCAGAAGGTCTTCGGAGCTCAAGCGCTGCGGGACGACTGGGTGGAGGAGCGCTACGCTCGACTCTTCGGCTCCTCGGCGAGAGGGCTGGTACTCGGATGGTCGAAGGAGGGTCGAATGATGGTGGAATGGGGAGAATTGATAATTTTTTAGGAGGAGGGCAATTTTTTTGTTGGAGGATGCTTGGGGGAGGGGGCGTCAGATGAACCAGAACTAAGATTTGATGGCACATATGATTGAATTATGGATTTCGTCGATCCGGAGAAGCATGGCAAGGAGTTGAAGCACCCGAGACGCATGGGTGCTGGAGCATTTCGCATGGTGCTTGGAGAAAGGGATCTTGGGGCCTCCCAGGCCTGGGACTCATTGCGGTCCAGTTCTCCATCAGTGAATTGATTTAGGACCCCAATGAGGCATTTAGGACCCCAATGATTTAATACCTCAATAAGCATCAATTCCTATAATACCTATATTATATATATAATTCATAGAAGTTCTCCATTGGGGTCATTGAATATTATCAGGCATTATATATATATAGTTACTATATAGGGATCCAGTACCTTCTCAGGTTAGGTACGACTGGACCCGACGTTTTGGCACCCTACATAGTGTCGAACACATCACCGAATCTGAGAAGGTACGACTGGATCCCAATATGGGAGTTATTAGTGAGTCAGCTCCTTGGAGATGCACCTGTGTTGCGGGGGACACTTGGAGATTCCCGGTTCATGAGAACTTGCCAAGAAAATGTTCGCCACCAAGCCTGAGATTGGAAATAGCAGTGCCGGACCAGCCTAGCAGTACTCCTACCTGGTTTGTGCAAACGCCGATTATCGAGGATACATCGTTGGCTTGCTGGACATGGAAGGCGGGGGGACGTGCGGTCAGTGTTTTCTTTTGCATTGCGCCTTCCTGCAGTTTCGGTTTTGACCCACCACCGATTGACACCAAAGTTGGAAGGTGTCAGATGTGCAACGGTTGGGCCGTACAGCGGACCTTTCAGTCAGGACTGACTCCGCGACCTTTCAGGTGAAGTGATCAACTAAGCAGTTTAGATTATCTTTTTCATGCCTCCCATAGCCGCCACTTCCTCCAAAATAGCTGTAACTCCCTCCCCCAAGTCAAACCCCGGGGCCAGCCCCCGCATCCGCGGCATCTTCGCCCGATGCGCCACGTACCGATGCACCGTCGGCCCAGCTGTTCAACGCACCGACGCGCTTCTGGAGTTCCTCAACGCGCCCGATGCCCGACGCCACGACGAGCCCGCGGCGGATGAGCCCGGCGCAGCGGGAGCCGTCGCCGTGATCCGTAGCGCCGCCTGGGGCGCAAAAGGAACGCCGGACGGTGCCGTGTTTTGGGTCGTTCGCCGTTCACCGGATTTTTTGTTAAAATGCATCAATGCATGTGTTTCTAAGGTGGGGTGTTGTTGGGCCCGTATCAAAGGTGTGAACTACGGCTTGTTAAATCAAGATTAGAGAGAAGTTTGTGAAAGATTGTGTTTCATTGAGGCTTGTAATCAGGTTCACATATACAAGCAGAACCACCCGATTGCGTAGTTTGAGATTTGATTGACCCACCCAGGTGCACTCCATTGGAATGCGGCGGGCTACATGTATGCCCTTGGTTCAACCACGTCATGTAGCGCGATGCAAGGTCGGTACAAGAGTGGTACAAGTTCGACCGGGGTCACTACCTTCGGTCGACCATGGAAGTATCCATTCCGGAGAACATCGGGACAGCCACGGGACATTAACCAACGATTAAGTCAGCGACGCGAAGCGAGTGGTCGCGCGTCGCCGCTGCCACGCGCGGACCGAGGTGCGCGTGCGTTTGACCGAGGAGCCGGGCGGCGTGGAGGCGGGAGTCGGGCGAAGCTGAAGTCCCAAATCCAAATCCAAAGAAGGGGCAAACAATCCAAACTCTATAGGTCGTTCTGAAAATGCCGTTCGCGATGGTCGGTCTTAAAACCCATATCAAAGGCTTTGTTTACTCCCTTGGTGTGGCTTTGAACTTTTAAATGTCGACGCCGGATTAATCAAGCCCCTGCCTTCAAGGTCAACAAGGTCAACAAGGTTTGGGAGTGGAGGGATTGGAGACCACATCCCCTTAATAAAGATGATGACCTGATGATGGATGATGAATAATGACAAGATTGGGAAAGATTGGGATTGGGATGATTGGGATGATTAGGAAAGAGATGAAAGAGATTGGAAGACAAGATTCTTTCTTTGATTGGGATAATTAGGAAAAGAAAGAGGATTGCAGGATGAAAGAGAGGAAAACAAGATGGAGGCCAGAGGGTGGGCTTGATGAATAGGGGAGGGGTCCCTACTATTAGGGGGTGGTAGGGCCTGTGTGAAGGGTACCCTTTGTGAGCTTGAAAACCTTAAGGTTTTGATAGCGTTTTAATAAGATAAAATGCAATAATGTTGCTAGCAAAATGTTTGGTTTTTAACAGGGAAGGATGACATAAGAAAAAACAGGATAATGATAATGACAATGACAAGAAAAAGAAAGCAGAAGGATGATGATGAGAATGAAGATCAATTCACCAAAGACCAGAAGATATATGATACTGCCCAAACAGAAAAAACATGTAATTTAATAAGTAAATATAGAGCCATTATACCTAATTGTACCCTTTTTTTCTGGTGGAGCAGGGCTTGATTAATTGGGGGAGGTTTCTGGCAGAATTGTTTTTATTATTAGGGTGATGTACCAGGGTTTAAATTAGTTCAGTATTGGGGGCTCGAGCTGGGCTTGATTAATAGGGGAGGTTACTTAATCCTTTGTCAACATTACCCAGGTTGAAACTCAGGCTATTCTCGTTTTGATTTAAGACCTAGCCATACACTGTGCGGCAAAGAGTTTGTTTTGATATGTGTGATCCACGCCCTACTATACCAGCACCCTCACTGCCAGGTCACCACCTAGCTCACCACCTACCTTTAAGTTGCCAAAAGCCTCCAGACTTGTAGAGTCGGGTGCTGGTAGATGGTTCCCTTTTGAACCGACTCTCGCACCAACCTGACCGTCCTTCAAATCCTGTTGAGCTTGATCATGGTTTGAAAACACATGTGTAGCTTGGGACTTGCGAAAGGTGTGTTCTTTGGATGTCATTTGGGTGCAATTGGATGAATGAAGTGAGTTATGGTTCTCTTTTCTTCACACCTCACGTGACGACGTGAGGTGGTCATCCGTGCTGATGCGCCGGCGCGGTGTGCAGTGCCTGGCACGGGAATGGGATCTCGTGCGTTTCCAGTAGAGCTTCGATGGCACTGACACCCCAAGAGGGTTTTCATATATTGCGGGGTCCATATTTTCACCACCGACCTTGGGGATTTTGGCCATCTATTCTTGAGAGTTGCTTCATGTGCCAAAGATTTTGCCGACTGCCAAGGAGTAGCATGGTTTGAACAAAAGCATGTCGGCATGAAACATGTGCGACGTGATTCTTGGTAGCTTGATGCTTGTTCGTGGTTGTGGAATTGGTGCTTGCGATCTGTGTGTTTGTGGCTTATACCGTATACCTGAGTGATCAAAAGCATTGAATAACAACATGAGAACCTTCGTGCAGTATTCTATTCTGATCCCTTTGGTACCGAATCTCCCAACCGTCTTTGACTGAAGCCTATGCAGCACACCTGCATCAGACAAGATGCCTTTCCAAGATCAAGCAGAGACAGATGTTTGTCCAATGAACATCGTGGTCCTGGTGTGCCGAAAAATTATCCATAAGTGGAGTGTTCCACTTCCTGCCCTCCCGGGCCCTGTTCTGCTTCCAGCGGTGAATCTCCGTTGAACAACAGCATCCTGAGGTGCGCTTGGCGCTACGGCCCTTGGATGAGCTGCAGGAATGGGCGGAGGCAAATCCCAGCCTGGAGCCTCACGACACCAACACCTGGGCGACTTGGCTTGGTGGACCACTTCGCCTCAAGGCATGTCTCGGTGGAGGCGACCAGGTGTCTAGCTGAGGCTTCGTGGTGGCACATGAGGGCGCCATATATGACACCTGTTCTTGACGGTGGTTTGCTGAGGCAACATTCGAGAGCGCCGCCACTGGTGCTATTACTCTGGGAATCTCTGGGATAAAAAACAGAAAACACTTATATCAGTTTATATCTCCATCAACTGGACCCTCGAGTCTTGGGTGATTCTCCACCTTTGCTTCACCAGTTGAGATTCTCGTCGCCTCGATTGACTCTCCATGATTGGTAGTGATTGCCTCTTGTGACCCAGAGACTCCATAGATTCTAAAGATCCTTTAGCACATCACATGCGTCACATGTCCGGTTTACCTTAGACTCACGGATCGATAGGTCAAGGTGAAACTAGCCTAGTCTCCGCTGCGAACGCAGTCTTGGGGATGTACGGACGAACAGCGCAGTGCCTGGCTTGGAGTTGTGGGGAAAGAGTTGGAAGATCGAAGCTCCCTGAGTACCCGCCCGTTCGGCTGCCTGGGAGGGGGATGGCGAGTGGGTTTTTTGAGGCGAACCAGGGTTTAGTTGCTCACGGCTGGGGATGTGTTCGATGGTTTTCCTGTTCGTGTTGGGCGTCTGTTGCTCGCCAACCGGATCCAGGAAAGGCTCTTGGAGTTGGACTTGGACCCATCCAGCTCCGAGCTCTCGCATCGCTTCGAGCTTCAACCTGGTTCGTTGTGGCAGGCCCGGTGGACCTGGTGGTGTGTCGGGTTCAGGTTCTGGGATGCTGGGGTGTTTCTACACGTTTTCAACCAGCAGATGGCTGTATAGAAGGGTGAAGCCGCCAAGACAAGCGAGAAACAGGTGAGAACCCAGGCCTTTCGCGTGTTCCGCAGGTCAACACATCTGGGAATGAGCATGTTGAGATTCCTTTCCAGAAATTATATGAAATTATAGAATTTCTCATGTGATTCAATTCGATTCAGGGATTATTTCTCATGTGCCGTTTTGTCTTCCAAATCTATTGTGTGTGTGTCACACCCTGGTTCTAAGGGTTTTCCACGTTCTCACCTTTCTAACGGTTTTCCAGCAGGGGCACTGAGCACTCCTTGGCAAACTCAGTGCAACGAAGCTATGCCTTGGAGTGGGAAGCACGGATTGATCACCCGTGTGTACCTGCAACAATTTGGAACTGTTGAACACGCTGTCTCATTTGCTCTTTTTGTTTCCATGGTTCTTCATGCTACCTACCCCTCAAACCATTTTCTTTCAGCCACTTTTCAGCAGCCGCGCGTTCTGTCGCCTGACACCGCAGTTGTGAGAGGAACATTTTTAATCAATACTGTTCGGCCGACTCACTCGCCTTACCGTTCCCTCACCTTACTTCTCAACGTGGCAATTGAGTCTAACTGAAAACCCAAGTTCGAAGTGTGGGGTTGGTTGGTCCTTTTCTAAAAATCTTCGATCTAACCTCCTCGGGCCGCATGGACGAACCGCAACGGCCCCACCAGGTGGCAGCTGTCGGAGTGTCGAAGGACGGCTCCATGGGCAATGTGGTGTGCATCCAGATCCGGGCGCCGGAGCAGGAGACACTCATGCAGGCCGCCGTGGCCGGACGCCGTGACGGTGGTTCCGGTATATGGGTCAGTCCTGGGGTCAGTCCTGGTATGTCGGTTTGGGAGGGTTTGGGGGGAGGTTGGATGATGGTGTTGTGGGGTGTGGATGGCGTATGATGGCATGAATTTAGGGGTTTCACCCACAATTCATGTAATTATAGAGTCTTGAAGCCCACACTCCAAAGGAGATGAAATAGACGTTTTAGATAGACATGGACAAGCACAACATCAATGTTGACCACCTGTTCTAGTGCCGACCAGTTGATTGAACAGTCAGCCGATTGAGAATCATCTGACACAGTGCACCTTTGAACTTTGCTGGGAGCTTCCGTTGAAGTATGTTGAAGTCATAAGAACTTGATTTGTCGATCTATCTACTAGAATCCGTTTCTACCAGAACCCTTGGACAAGGTGTGTTGAACTATCACCCCTAGAAAAAAGGATATCCATGGCAGCCACCAGATGCATCAAGTATAGAGGCAGTCTTCGACCGCCCTGTGAGACTTCAAGCCTTCTCAAGACTTCTTCCCAGCGATGCAGCCCGGAACCGGGCCAGGTGCGACACTCCCTGGCAGAGGATGCCCAGGTGCAAAAGTGGAGGGGTGGATGCATGATAGCAGCATAGTATATAGCATGCAGGATGCTAGCGCGCGTCAGGATGGGGAACCTCCGGTTTCTGCGGGGTGAGCGATTTCGCAGCTTGCGAACCCGTTCCAGCAAAAGGGGGCCTGATTCTCAAGCATAGAAGTGGCACAGAAGGGCCTAGACCTTTTGAATTTGTCCACACCGGAATGACGATATGCAGGAAACCTGCATGACGGTGGTGTGGCCATGAATACTGCCATGAGAAGCACATGAAAACGGCTATGCCAACAAAACATCTCCAAAAGCACACGGTCCCTGCTTTGCCCTGGTGCGAAAACCCAGCACATCAGCCACTGTCAGATGGCGCCAGGTGCGAAAAGCCTTGGAGGAGAGCAAGGTGCACCGTGCTTTTCGGGTCCACAGTGTTCAACCGCTTGGAAGACTCCAATGGCATGGGGATTCACCAACAGATTTCCTTGTTTTTGGCTGATTCCATCAGCAGTGAAACTCATGGACTCCATAAACTCATTGACTTCGTATATGGCATCCTGACTTGAAATAGCCCCATGGTTGGTTTCTCCGCAGGATGCCACCGGGTGTTGCTTGCCCTGCCCGTTTGCAGGGTTGGTAAATGCGGAGTCTATAGGAATTAAGGATCCTACATACGGACATCAGTTTGGCACCGCGACAACGTACAATAAGTCTAAACAGTGGGCCTTTGTGCTTTCTACCGAGAAACGCTATACCCAGACACTCCATGCATGGAAACGCTATATTAACTATACTGCTTGACGTACAGTGACAGTGACTCATTGGCCAGCCCGTAGGTCATTTATAAGTCTTTCGCACTCCATTCGCCGTCGCTTCTTCCACCTTTTGACGGAAACGCCACGCGGCGGAATGGACACCCCAAGCGCCAGCTCCCTTCCCAGTCGGACCTGTTTTCCCCAGGCTGGGACGCCTGAGGTTGCGGATGCCAAAGAGACAGGTGAGCTCCGATGGTGAGAAGGATCGGACTGTGGAGGACCTCCCTGGAACTCACCACGGGGGGGCCAACCAAAAACGGTGGAGAACGCATGGCCATGCAGGCATGGCTGCATGGCCGAAGTTCCGTGTGGCTTCCAGGGTGTGCATATGAATCAGAATGCAATTGGGATACCATGGGATACCTTAACCTCCCAAGACGTGCATTTCCAGGCAAGGTGACACAACATGCGGTGTGCTACATCGTGTGCCACATGACACGATGTCATCCACTTGCACATGTTAGGTGTCTGGGACATGCTGCACAGACCTAAGTTGCAGATGATGGCCTTGAGGGAGGGATCACGACCCCAACAATATCATCCATAAGTACTCCGCTGAAAACTACTGGTTGGTAGACCCTGACAAAACCACCGGTTTGTAGAGGAAAACATTCAGACTGAGGGTGCCATTCGACCCGGGTCCATGTTGGTTTTAGGGAGTGTTAGTCCCAAACATTTGTGAGAATTCCCAAGAATTCAACAGCTCGAAGTGAACCTGAACCAAGCAGTCAAAAGCCAAAAGCCCCTTCACTTCACTCAACTGCAACATTTGCAACACCCTGAGCCACTCACACTTGATCGATGTTTTGTCAGGCGCCTCCTCTGCCTCCTCAGCCACCCGCTCGAGTGAGGGAGGACTCGCAGGCAGGGAGACTGAACCCTCCTGGCACCATTTTTCCTTCATGATTAGGTGTCCCTAGATGTCGCTAGGGATCCAAGTACCTCCTCAAAAGGTACGACTGGACCCTCCTGGCACCCACCCCAGTCCCACCTTCTCAGAGGGTACAACTGGATCCTCAGGGTGTAGAAAATGGACTGGATTCCAGTTGCACCACCTGCGGATGCCAATGATTGGCACATTCAGCACGTTCGAACTTGGAGATGACCGACCGCACAGATGTTGGAAAACGTCGTTATTGGCTCCCCCGAAAATGCCACGGTAGTACCAAACTGAATAGGTTCACAAGAGAACCCAGCATGATGCCGTTGCTTCAAGGTTGCTCTAGCTACTGGACTATGAGGATGGTGCCTCGTTCAGGACTCCTTTTTTGGAAGCAATATCTGAAGTCGGCCACTGTTTAGTTGAAACATGTTGACACCAAACCACAGGACCCACCCACTCCAAAAGTTGTTTGTTTCAGGATGGTTCAGAAGTTCAGGCGCTCAGAAGAAACATCTGAAGAAAAAAAGAAAACCACCACTTTCACCATGTTTCACCAAGCCCCCCTAGATAAAATATCACTAACATTTTTCGTAGGTCCTCTCCCCTCCCCTCTACAGAAAGTGGTGGATCTCAAAAGCATGTTGAACAGATTCGAACAGATTTCCACTCTGGAGGCGAAGCCACTGGCCATCGCTGCGAAGAAGACACGGTGCTGAGTGGCTCGGTCGAGCGGCACTGGAGTGGATTCCTGGCGGCCAAGCCCCTCCAGCACTGCGCGACCACTGGTGTTTTTGGGTGGCTTGTGAACTTTGGATGTGAAGAGGCAGTGCTTATGGAACAACGCGTTGCACGAAACGTATATACGTAGATTTTTGGTGTTTTGTTTGTTAGGATTTCTGGTGTTTTTGTTGACCAAAACGTGCTGGACACCAACTCGTTCTCTACAGTACTTGCTTGATGAACTCAGTTCAATCACCAGAACCATCCCTGACAAATGCATCGATGGCGGATGGCGGCCTTCGACGGCCAGTCCAAAAATGTGGCTTCTGGGCTTCATTTTGCATAGTGAACCTTCGTGACTTCCAGGAACCCTCCTTAGGAACCATAAAGAACCATAGGGCTTGTCTCCTTAGGAACTCTCCAATCTTGAGGACCTCAAGATCTCTATGATTCAAAGGCATGGGACCGTAAGGTTTTTGGATGGTGCTTGGGAAAATGGAATCCACATTGCATGGGTTGTCAAATGTGTATGACCGTATGGACTGGCCTGTCTATGTGATCAGGCCACGACCAAACTCAACCCCCCTTATGTTGGCCAAGCTTTTTCTCAAAAAGGTGAAGAAGACGAGGAGGGCGACGCTGAGGAGGTCACTGCACCGGATGGCACAGACACTTGGCGATGGGGTTCATGGCGAGAAGTGCCATGTGTGGCCGGTGGATGGACAGCTTATCCTACCCAAAGACCCATAAAGACCGGGGGGGGCTCTTATGTTGTTTCATCTGTTTTGGGTTGATGTTCGGAAACCGGGTTGATGTTTTTGAACACCCTTCAAGAAGCCCCAAACATGCTTCATATCTTGGATGGTGCTTGCTTTCCATGAAAAAAGCATAGATGTCACTTTGGAGGGCGAGATGAAGCAAAACTAGGGGGTCTTGAGAGGCGTGAATCTGACGTTGCCGTTGCTCCTCTGGTTACAAGAGAAGAAGATAGCAAAACACAAGCAAGAGCTGCAGGAGGTATCATGGGGTGATCGAATGACACATGATTGTTACTGTAAATCTTTGGTTCTGTTTGGAGGCACATATGCTGATGTGGGGAGGGCCAGCGAGAAGGCCAAGGTGATTCGAGCATCGTCAGACGCCACTCCAACACCTCCCGCTCTTCATACCCTCCCACTCAGTGGAGAACGCGAAACACCTTTTGCTCGGGGGGATTGCTTTTCCCACCATGCCAAGTCATACCGTACAATCAAATTTGTATGGAACAAGGTTCTGAGCCATGTTAAACCTCTCCCAGCTGCTTCCGTTCGGGGTCACCTGGCTGGCTGAATATATAAACGCCTCCAAGCAGGGTGTCCTGTCACGTGCGTCTGGCATGTTCCCAGAAAAGACTGATGAAAAACCATCAGTCTCTTCCCTGAGGATAGAGGCGCTCTTTAAGAGGTTTACTAATCAAGCCACAGACTTGGGGATGGTAGGATGGCAAGGTCATTTTGGACGCCAAGGTCACCCGGCGCCGACGCCGGCCACCGGCCGAAGCGAACTCGAAGGCAGGCAGTCGAAGCTGGGTGTTACCAAGTCTGGGCTTATGGAATCTGTTTTATTAACAACCACTCAAGTTCCTTGTCATGTGTTCTAGTATGTTTAAGATGGAATCTTCATTCCATGTTGCCTTCTGTGGACAAAATGCGCTTGCAACCCGGCAAGATGGATGAACACCACACCCAAAAATGAGGGGTCACAGCATTCACTCAACCATCAACAACCCTGGAGCTTACTGTAGCGTCTCTTACAGTTTTTTGTGCAGTGTGCTGCCCAAAATACGAACCCTGCCATCCCACCACAGACCAAAGTTCTGGCATGTTCCGAAGTACTTTGCATGGTTGCTGATTCTCTTTTTCACCAGCGGTAGACATAGGACGGGAATGTGTGCACGGCTCACCGGGAATGTGTTCCGTCCGGTCAAATCCCCAAGCATCAGGGCCAAAGAAACACTGGGACGCAAGAAAAGAACCCAGAGACTGAGACTGAGGTCTTGTGGGATCATCACAATCCTAACACCTCACTGCAACAAAACAACCCACAGACGCTTGTGGCCGTCGAGCAGCTTCGGATCGCGCCCTTCGGCGCCTCGCCCAGCCGAATCCAGGTGATCTCCTATCAGGGCAGTGTTGCCGTGGAATACGCCCCTGGGCGACGTGTGGCGTGGGGCGTGTGGTTCGGCGTTTGGTGCGGTGACCGATCGGTGGTCCGGGTGGGCGCCTTGAGACAAGGCCATTGGATGAGACCCATTCTTTGGGGTGCTTGGTGCTCTTGAATGTAGGGGTCATATATGGGCTCTAGGAATCTAGGAAGAGGTTTGGATCAGTAGCAGGTCCCAGCAGAAGGCAATCACAAGCTGATTGGACCTGCCTATACTGCAACCTCAGCAGGTGAAACCAAAAGCTTAGAAATGTCAACGTCTTTTGATTCGAGCCCCCAGCATTCAAAAAAGAAATTGGGGAGGCACGTTACAAAAGAACATACTAGAGAACTTTTGAAATTTATAGTGTTCCAAACTTGGGAAAGTCGATCAAAAACACGGACCCTTGATCTCAAAGTTTTACTGTACGGCTTCCGTTGTGGTTCTTCTCGCCTTCGTCCAATGAGGAGAAGCACCTGGACAAAGAACAATAAAACTCATGTGATTATTTCCTTTAGACATCCTGTCCCAAAAGCACCACTGAAGCCCTTCTTTAGAGTTTGCCGACCTTTTGCCACCAAAGCCCTTCCATTCCTCCTACGAACATATATGTTTAATCCACTTCACATGTGGGTCCTGGCACCTCAGCGCCGCCCCAGCCGCTGCTGCCAAAACCTGGACCCCACCCGGTGGACCTGGTGCACCGAGCCACGAGCCGAGGCCCGGCGGATCGAAGAGAAGCAACGCCTGGAGGCCGAGAAGACGCCGCACCGCTGGAGCGCCGCGAAGCGCTCCGTCCCGGTGGATCGCCTCGAGACCAAGGCGGCCGGGCGCGGCCGGGCGCGGCCGGGCGCGGCCGGGCGCGGAGCCGCGCTCCGGGCGGCGCAGGTGGAGAAGACCCCCTGGGTGGGTGATGGATGAAGTTGGGGCTCCATGCTTCAGAACCAGGAGTGCCACAGTTCGGGAACACATGTTGGCCTTCCCCTGAAGTGAGTGGAAGGAGAAGGGTCCGGGGCATGGTGAAGTCCATGGTTCGTCCCCTCGAAACATCACCTGACAGGAACTTCTGAGAAAAACAATGTCATCCTGGAGTAACGATAGAACAGTGGAAAATCCAAACGCCAAGAAGTGGATAGACACAAACTTGAGGATATTTGAGGATTATGGTAAACTGAGTTGCGAGAAAGTAGTTTGCGACCAGTATTGTCTCTACTTGTTTGAATTTTGCTGAGAAACCGATGCACTGTTCTACCATGTTCGACGTAGCACTCTTCGGTTTCAAACAATGCAATCTCAATCAATCTCACAATCTCCATCAACCGCATGTTTAAAGATCATTCTTACCTACGCCAAGGTGGTTCCCCAATAGATCGAAAACGATGTTCGTCACCCATTTAAGCTGGTTCCGCGTTTTTTCTACCCCCGCGCAGCCGAGACATTTCGTCACCCTTCGCAACCATCAAAAAGAGCCACGGACTTCTACCGAACATACGCAGGGTCCCCGCGATCGTGCGTTTCTGGGGAACTCTTTCCACCCGGACCTTCGGGCCGCCGATGCTTTGTGCTTTCTGTCCTCATCTCACCGAATGACTCCCCTGCTATTCGGACCACATGGAACACCCAAACTACGCCCGGTTGGTATTCGGAAAATGGCCGAAACCACCGGTCAATTCTCAGGGTCCATGTTACTTTGCGGGAGGGTAGTGTGAGAAGAAGACCGTCTGCTTGTTCACAGCTTTTGGCACCCCGAATTCGCCCAAATGGCCCACGAAACCTTTGGTTCCTGGCTTGGTTGGCAGTGGGGCTGCCAAAAGCCAACACCAAGTTGCTTTCTCTTCCGCCGCGGTCAGTGTGCCACTGGCAGCGCTGCGGAGCGGCATCACTATGGCACAGTGGAGGTCCTGGACAATTCGATTCAGGCGAACATCGAACTTGCGGTGCTGACATGGAACTTGCGGTGCAGACTGGGTGCGGGTGGTTCACTGATTGTATATATCAGGAGTCACAAAGGGGTGGTGTTTAGTCCCATCCAGTGAGTGGATGTTCTGGGCACCCCTATCCTCCAATAGGCACCCCTTTGTGACTCCTGGTAGGTAGATTCATGTAGGTTCTATTGGGTGGTTAGAGTGGTTCTTCAAGACCTGGGGCCCGTAGATCAGGGCATGTCTCGATGTTTTTGGCCAGATCTGAGGGTCGTATCGTGGCCGGAACGTTTGATACCAAAGCAACAGGCTCGTTCTCCCAGCATGACCACCAGTTTCCATGGAAGACCGACCTGGTGATGTGCAGGACACCCACCTGAAGGCACTGAACCTTTGGGGCGCTGACAAGATCCTTAGATATATCAAGATCGTTCAGGGGGTCACTGAACGTGCATGTTTGTGCTCATTTATTCAGGGTATTTCAGGGTCAAGGTTTGACTTCATGATGCAGAGAAGTTGAAGGTCCACTCCTTCCCCCAACAGGCCTTAAGGGATGTAGGATTTAATCATGAGACAACGAACATCGAAGAACACCTTGCCGTTTCGGTGGAGTTAAGTTACAGTATATCAATCAGACATGTGATTGGGGTCTACCCCCAAGCGGCAGAGGTTGATGTTGCACTTGAGTTTGGAGGGGACAGCTGAAAAGTAGAATCAGAAACCTGTAAAATTGAAGGGATTCTCAACTGATCCTTGGCATGCGGCATGCATGTTTTTGATATCATGTTTGATTTGTTATACAATTTGAAGTTGGCAGCCTGCTTGTCATTGGGTGGTGTTTGTTAAGGCTCGGTTTGGAGATCGAGCCTCTCTCAAGAAGGGGGGGGCCTCCCTTCTTTGGACCCTCAAGAGGCTCCTCCCAGCACCTTTGGTCCTCGTCAGGCGCACCAAGAGCAGCAACTCCGTCGCTGGGCGGACTTGGACCTTTCGCTGCGGCGGAAGTGGCCAGAAGTGACCCCCCTTGGGTGGTTGAAAGCCATGAGGTTCATCTAAAAATGGTCAGCACGCGCTTTCAGCAGTAAACAACCATGACACCAAAATCATTTTGCCAAGAGGGGTGCTTTCATGTCTAGACACTGCAAGTGGAGCATAGCAGCACAGTAATCCCCGAACCAAAATCTGATTTCTTTTTGATGACCAAGGGGGACCTGGGAGGCTCCTTTTTCCTACTAGTTCCTTCCTGTCCAAATGTTGTGGTAGTAAGTAGGGGCTCCGCAATCGACTTCAATGTGCTTGTATGTTACATGTTTGAAGCACACAAGTAGGTTTTGGCCCCAAAAAACAAATAGTTATCTCCAACCAGAGAACCCAGCTAATCCTTTGCGTTTTTGTCCCCGCCCAACTTGCAGCCTTTCGCCCATCCCCCCCAAAACCAGGCCGCCAAACTCACCGTGACCAGGTTCCCCAAAAAGGCCTCAAAGAGCCCAAGAAGGTGCCTCACACCGCCTGCCTCTCAACCTCTTCGGTGTGCGCCGAAGGCGAGGACGAGCTGCGCTTGGCGGCGTGGATCTTCTCCGTGACCGGCGACCCACAGTCCGGCGCCGCCGCCGTGGCTGGGACGGTGAACGTGGCTGGGCGGGTTTTGGAAAGGTTCTGTTGATTTTCTCAGGGCAGGTTGTGGTAGAAAGGTAGTAATAGCAAAATGGATGTGCTGTGATATGTTGTGATCAATGGTAGAGGCGTTTCGCATTCCATGGATGTTTATATAAAATGAAATTCAACTGTTTATGTTGCCCCTGTCAATGCCTTGGTTGTCAAGCATATTCTTCAGGGAATGCCATAGAAATAGCCACATGTCACAGAAACTGTATGTTGCATACTAAACTCCACATGCGTGCAGGCACAGACCAACAGCCACCATGTTGGGGTTTTATTACTTTAGCTTCTAGGTGAACATTTCCGGGCAATTCAGATCAATTCAGTACATGTCCAGTTCCATATATAAAGCAGATGTTTCCAGTCCAGGTCGAATTCCCTCCCTCCTGACTAAGGCAGCATTCCTGCAAGTTTCACAGGCTTGGCAGAACACATGTCCGAAAATACCATTCAAACGCTGTCATGTTATAGAATATCAGATCATATCATATCTAACCACCCCAATGCCATTCGCTCAATATGCCAGTCCCAGTCCCTGCTTCCTTCATTGGGATGCCCCCCCTCAGGCCGGCCAAGCCTCCCTGCAGGCCATCCATCTCACAAACTGGGAAGAGTTTGCTGGGTTTGAGATGTTTTGGGATGTTGTTTTCAATGTTTTTGCCTCAAGTTGGATCTTGCTGTATCACCTTGCTGCAAGGTGATACAGTATTCGGCATTTCTACTATGGGATGTTCAATCACATCTAGGCCAAGAGATCTGTCCCAAAATTGCCCCATGGAGCCCCATGGACCCCAAAAAGGCATGCGGCATGCCAATCATTGCCAAATTGAGCTGGCCAACACCGGCATCGTCGTTCCCGGAAAATCATGGGACCCCCATGAGACCTCCTGGACTGGTCCTGGACGTGTAATACTGAAACATCCCGCCATGTTTTTTTCCGCGCACCTGCTGGTCTGTATGCTGCGGTGGCAGGATGTTCTCGGACACAAGTGACACAAGAGACACAAGATCACCGCGGGTCGTCATATTGTGGATCTCTGTAGGGCGTGTCTCCTTAATTAGAAGGTCGGTAGTTGGACCCTCTAAACCCACCCCAAACACCTAAGAAGGTCCTTGGAGCCCTAGGGGGTTGGTAAAAGTTCTACACATCACTATACAACTATTTAAAGGCCTTTGCAAAACACACCATCATCATTTACTAGTCCAATGATGGGACACCATAGATGTCAGACTGACGGATCGTCGACTTTCGAGGTGCTTTACTGCCAGTGGTTTCGCCGGCAGCAGACCCACCCACCCCAAAATAAAACATGCTGACACATTGCAGATATGTCTTAGATTCCCAACCGTTCCACCAATTGAAAGTGGTTCTTCTTGAGACTTGCTTTAAATTCGCCCCACCACATCGCACGTCACTACACGGCGTGCCAATCCGGCGTACCCTGCCAGGAAGCCTTGCAGACTGGTGAGGCCGGAAACGCTCACAGCAGACACGTTAAGTGGTTAAGTGCGGATGATCTTCGGATTCAAGAATCAGGACGAGGGCTCCCCCCTCCTGAAGAGGGCAGGCTATAGACACATTCCTTGAAAAGGTGCCCCCTTTTCTCTACAAACCGGAACGGGTGACGACGCAAAGGATTAAACAAGTCCCTGTTTCAGGTGTGCTTTGGACACGAGTGGACAAACCATCCCCCAAAACCCAAAGGTCTGGCAACCTGGCTCCACCTCCACCAATGGAAGCCACCCCACGACGCAGACGACGAACGACGGAGCCGGCGCGGAGCCGAGGTGTTGTGTGACCTGGTGAACGCCATTTGGCCTGGGCGGATCGTGGGCGTCTCGCGAGGCGGGGTTGCTTGGATGGGTTTGAGGGATCCGGAGGCTGGTCGAGGCTGGTGCATCGCGAGTGTCCCAAAAAGGGCACACGCAGTTGAGGGGATGTCCTGTTCCGGGCTTGCGGATCAAGTTGAAGTTTAATCAATGTTGGGGCAACCAATATGGCTTTTAAAGATGGCTTTCGCAATTTCTGGCAAGGGTTCAGGGTGCAGGATGCACTGTAGTTTTCATAACTCACAACTCACAAACGTTTGTTGGATGCTTTTGGATGCCAATGGGTGATTACATTAAAGCAATGTGTGTTTGGCCACATCCACCATGGGACTTGCTTGACATTTGGAACATGCTTGAGTAATTAAACTTGAATATTGAATGCTCCAAAAGTGATTCCGCTGTGGGCTGATGGTTTTAGTACGTTTTGGTCTTGGGTCAGGCTCCCGGATTTTGTGCCAAGAGGTGGGCAGAGCATGGCAGGGCAACCTCACCAACTCACCATGTTTCCGTCAAGGAACTTGGGTCAGGTGCAGTCAGCCCAGCTGTTGTCGCTGCCGTTGGCCCGGCGCGGCACAGGGCCACCAGCACAAATCCTTTTTCGACGAGTCGCGAATATCACGCCGGGCCGCCCAGTAAAACATGGTGGGACCAAAGCGGACGCCCAACAGCATGAGGTGTCCCTCGTGGTGGACGCAACAAAACATCCTACAACATCAAGAATTAAAATAGCTACTCCAAAGGTAAGGGCCAGGGCTACTTTCTATATCGTATACATATGCATGTGTATACATGATCATTCATTCTATGCTTTTGGACTTTCATTGCTCTTCAGAACAAGCTTGCGTTGATACCTCAAGCCAAAAGACTGTGCTAGTACTTAGTGGCCACTAAGCAGTCTGAATCTTCTGAGTCCGTCCATACATACCCAGAGATGATGGCGGATCAACATGCAAATGTCTTGGAGTCTTTACGGTCAGTTCAGCATCCCAACACATGCCAGCTTCCCAGCACCCGGAGGTTCCTCAAAACAACTTTTCACAAGGTGGCCGCTTTTTGGCCTATTCGGGGTATCAAGCAAAGATCTATATAACTATCCAGTGGTAGATGTTAGTAAACCACAGATTCTCGACTTTGCCACCCAAACCATGCCAACCATGTCATTTAACTTCAAGAGAAACACTCCCCTGAGGCCCAAGTAGTTTGCACCCATCTCACCCAAAAATCACAGGCCATCCGAATCCATCCCCTTCGCGCCGCGGCCTTAAGGCAATTCGTCCAGTTCTGCAGCAGCCGACCCGGCCTGGCGCACAGCCTCTTCGCGCCCGCGGACCTCGCAGAGAACCGGAACTTCCGGAGCGCCCGGATGCTCGGGCGGAGCGGACCGGACCGAGCGGGATGGGGCGGAGCGCAAATCGGTTTGGGGAGCGGTGTGGGGCGCCTGTACAACATGAGAATCTTCTAAAGGTGCTGAAATTCACAGGGTGAACTCGGCATTTGGTGGGACAAGGACCTGAGCATGGAACAAGTGTTTTTAAAATCTGGTTCTTCAGGGAGTCAAGCGGAAGAAATGTATACAAAGAAGCAATACGAATAAGAAGCACTTTTTTTTGTTTGCTTCAACCCCATCGACAGTCTCGGAGGAGTGTGACAACATGCCCCGGTGTGAGACAGTCAGAATTCCATTCCACCCCCGGTGATCTTGGATAAGACGAGTCGGTGGCCTTGCAGTCGAATATGAGTCGGAGAAGTGGAAACCCAAGAGTTGGCTGCCTTTTTTGACGAGGGATGTTATGTGTTTTCTTCTTTGTGAAGGAGTATAAGAAAGCAAGGAGGCTTCGGAGGCCACCCTATTAGTAATACAACTGGGTGGAACCATTCCAACATTGGGCCACCGGGTTGCAAAATTAAGAGCAGAGGAGCTTGTTTTTGTATCCTTTTGTGATACAAATCCGAGGCCCTTTGGCCGGTATCGCCACTTAGCTTCAACCTCCCTGCTTGGTCGATTGACATCGGCCTGTGCAGGTCGTCCGATGTGTGTCCGCCCTGGCGCATCATGCTGCTCGGTCAAGAGCGAGCAGACACAGCATGATCCTGGGAATGGGGTCCATGGGGTCCAGACATGTCCAGACGGCCCATAAAGACAAACAAAGTGATCATCCTCAACTAGATCAGTGACCATCCAGGGCGGATAATATTGCTGGGCTGCGCACGGTTTTGCAGCACACTTCGCTTGTGAACCTTCCGCTGTGACATGAAAAAACGACGAATCGTTGAAAAAGTCTCAACCATGTTCTATACTATGTGGGTGTGCTACCACCATATATGTTCTTATTTTAAGCGTTTAATATACTAAGAAAAGACACGAGAGCACGGTAGAATCCGATAGAACATGCATTTAGGGTTTTTACTCTAGGTTCTCATTTTGCAATGGATGTGGACAAGCCCACCTTTTCAAACACCAATCGATGCCTGTATGCTAAGCTGCACGGAGACCTTGCACAGGACCTGGTACAAAATAGACTCCCACAAGCTACCTGGATGTCTCTGGAAGACTTTATCAGAGCAGCCGTGTACACAGAGACTTTGGGTTCCTGGTTTAACGTGTTTTGTTTCCATGTCACGCTTTGAGAGGGCTAGCTTCTTCAAAGACTTGGGAAGACACATGGAACCTGATGCTGAATCATATATATATATACAAACATGTTCACAAACATGTCAATTTTGGTGTTTTCATGTTGGTTTTGGAAGCTGTACTAGCTTTTTGGTTTTAGCGCATTGCCTACAAAAGACCTGCAGATGGTTAGACTGATTGCTACATTGTAGGCAATATAGGTCAGTTATGGTCAGTTGCTGCCATGTTTCTTTTGGTGGCCAGTCTCTCAGTGCACAATCCTTGAGTTCTTCCTTGCAGGGCTCTTAGTCTCAGCTTAGTCTCAGCACTTGATAAATTTAGCAATCACGCACTTGGCGTACTGAGACGTCACCATCCTCAATCATCATATCTATTTTCCATAGTACCCCCCTTCTCATCGTCACCCTCCTACTTGCACTTGCATGCACGGCACTGAAAAAATCGATACGATCCACCACACCAACTCGCGATCGATCCATCGTTCGCCCCTCAATAGCCCTTTCACGCTGTGGGGTGCGAACGAGGGTGTGTATGTACGATCCACCCATGTCATCGGCACCGTCCGCCCCTTTGAGGTCCCTGACAGTTGGGAGGGCCCACGGCTGGGACAACACGGTGACTTCGTTCGCGGGGGCGCCCGGTGACGGCACTGACTTCGTCGCGACCGGGACACAACGACTCGGGATGAAGAAGTTCGAACGGTGAAGTGGGTGGAACGATGTGAATGACGGGGAGTTTAATGGATAAGTCCCAATCTACATGGGGTTGCTTAAGGTAATTCCCGGTGATGTCCCCCAAGTGATGCATTGCAAAACTCAAGAAATGGGTGAGACACCAACCTTAGCTTTGTACGTATTCGTAGGTGGTTTTGCACCTATTGGTTGATGTTGTAAATCCCCATGTATATAATGTGACCAGATGTATTGCCTCCTCCAAGGGTGTGATGTAGCAAAAACTGCGCAGTCCAAAGATATACCGACACTGTCGCCGCAGGGAGCCTCTCGCCCAAGAAGCCCTAGTTCGCCGTGGAAAGTGCGCGGTGATACGCGGTGGACAGAGAGGGGAGAGAAGGGCCCAGCGAATCAAGCCAAATTGATCGAAGACCATGGAATAGCCTACACTCACAGACCAGCAGTTTGAAGAAGTTGAAGGATATGGCTTTTCCATGTTTTTCCAGTTGGTGCACGAGAATAGAATCTAGTTGAGGGTGAAAGTTCAGGTTCCAGCTGTTTTGGTTGCGATGATTTGCAAAGGATTGCGTTCCGGACCCCTGAATCACTGAAGGTTTGTTCTTGGTACATATATCCACGAACCATTGCACAGTACGCATATATTTATTTATATACACACACATATATATATATATAAACACACACATATATATATATATACAAATGCGCGTAGGGTAAGTATAGTTAGTTGAGTGCTTAGGCGCTTGAAATCACATAGCCAAAATAAAGTACTAGCTCTTAGCTCTCCCATACTAGTACTGGATGGCTAGACTGAACCTTCTGGAGTTGGAAGGTTCATTCAGAGTCAGCAGAAGCAAGAGCCCTCAGATGTCCATAATCACCCTGTGGTCAGATGGGGTGCGGGTGCATAGCAAAATACTAAGCGGCATCATAAAATATGTTGCGTGACACCCAAGAAACGAAGAAGTCGCTCCAAAATTCGACCCATTGGAAGACCAAGTCGACACATGACAGCGCCTTGGTTCCCAAGTTCCAACCACGTTCCCAGGTTCCAACCATGTGCTTAGTTGACTCAGATGTGTAGCTTGCTGTGCCCCACAGGCAAAAGGCTGGGTTGTGCACTTCCCACTTCCCAACATGCGAGAATTGTTGGAGGTAATTGCCCTCACAGTTGATGATGCCCCGAACACCACCTCCAATCTGTCCAAAAGGCCGCAGGGCATTGCCCTGCAGAGCCATTTCAAGACACCAGCATCTCCTGCCATGCCTCAGTGGTCATTGCGGGGGGTTGTGGGGTCCACAAGAAGACAAGGACAGCGTTGGTAGACAAAACAAGACACATGACATAGGTCCTCGAACAGCAGAACTAACAAACCTTTACCATTACACCATGGAAGACTAACATTGGACGCTGAACACCACTGGTTGGTAGAGGAAAACCAATTTTGCAGCGGGGTCATTGTCAGTGTCTAGTTTTCGGGAGTGTATCCTTTATGTTTCACCTGTTTTGGCGGCACCATGTTTTAAGATGATTGGCCCGTGTTGGGTCAAGGCTGACAACTTCCTTCTATGCTAGACAAAATGGAGTTAAGGCTAGCAAGCAGGACATAGGTGGTTCATGATAAGTTGAATGCGGTTTATCAAAGTCTTTCAACTACTCTTATTAATGAATCCTTTGTTTACGGCAGCTAGCGGAGAAAACCACCACAAGCACAGAGAGAGAGGGGGGGGAGAGTTCTTGACTACATCTAGGAGCTCCAGTAGAGTGAAGGTGTGTGGGCTTAAGACCCTAAGGCTCACAATAACACAAAGACCCTAAATGACCCCACAAGCCACGCCTCCTGGGCCTTTGCGTGGCATGCTGGTCCTTGACATGGGAAGTCAGAGGTGCCTGCAGCCAGTCACATGGTGGTTGCAGCCAGTCATGGGAAGTAGCCAGTCACGAAGTAACATGTTGGATGCACCGAAGACCGACTTCCAGGACCTCCATGGTTAACCAGAGCCCCTCTCGAGGACCTATAGATGAATGGATGTTGTTGACAGGGGCACCACCCTATCCTCCGTATCCTCCACACACCCCTGTGGAATTCTTTTCTCATGTGTTCTATGATGTTGTTTTCTTCAAGTCAAAAAAGAGATGACAGCAGATATATATATATATATCAATGACAAAGACCATAGACTTATTTCTTCAAGTCATCGTAGGAACGCTGCGCTGGCCCCTCTGCAGATCTTTTGCGAAACACGACCGTCCGCCTCGAAGCAAAAAGCCCGTGCGGCGAAACCCGTGCGGCGCGGTCCGGTGAAGCGGTCCGGCGCTGCACGCGGTCCGGCACATGGGGCCCAAACTCGTGGCTTTCGACGGGCGATGGGGTAGCTGGTGTGAAGGAGCCAACTTCATGAGACCGAAACAAGAGACTTGAATGGACAATCTCTCTTATACAAATCCATGGCTTCCGGATTCCTGACACTTCTGACATGGCCAGGCCATTTGCTTGGCCATCACCGGGTGGGTGGGAGGGGAGGCCCAAGAATGTGGATCAACAGTTGAATGACTCATCATTTGTGTGTCATGCCTCACTCTGAATACAGCAGTGACAGAAGCAGATTCCAGTGGTGTTTTGATCCATCAACATATCCGGAAAAGGTCCTGATCTCGCACCCTGTAGTCCAAAATCTGTTCAAAATCCATCACAATCCAGGATCACATCCGAGATTGTTCCTCAGAGCCTAAAACCATCTAAAGCATAGCCCCACCCCTTTAGTCATCAAAACAGGGCAGTCGGGCCTTTGGGGGGGACCCGGCCATGCTGAGCTTGGACCCACCCCTTTCGTCCGCCTTGTCCCGTGCATCCCGTGCTCCTCCGAGCGGTGGAGGACGAGCGGATGAGAGGTCGACCTCCGGAGGATTGGGAAGGCGAACGACGTGTAGGATGGCCGAAAGCGCAGGAAGAAGCGTGTAGGAAGGGGTCATATTTTCAAGAGGAGATGTTGTGTGTGTGTGTCCTATCCTGTTTCTAAGGTAATTATGAGGCTTTACCACGCACTTTAGTATAATCATGTAGAGTCATTGTCGTTGTGGTTTTTTTGGTGATGGCGGCTGCTTCTGTGTTTGTTTCGCTGGTTGAGACTGGGTCGTGAGCCGCGAAAGAGTGCGAGCTAGCGGATTGAAACCAGCTTGTTGCTTCTCAATACCAGGGCCCCCTTAAGGGGTAACCAAGGGCTTTTGGTCTAGTCTATCTCTATTTGTTTTAGGGTTTAATTTTGAGGTTACCCGCTTACGTGCACGTCTCCTTTACGGTTCTTCATCCGCGAAATACATGGCGGCTTGGCCAGTTGGTGGAGTGGGGAGATGTCCAGCAACTCGGACTTCATTTGTTTTGTTGTTTCTTTCCCCTTTTTTTCCAACGAAACACATGACCAAGTAGATCAAAGTACCCTGGAGCATCCTGGAGCAGCTGCCCCGTCTTTTGTGGAGATCCCATCCACCCGGCCACTGTAGGGTGGGACTTCTTGGACACCCACAGCACTGCCATCAAAACCATGTCAAAACCACATGTCTAGCTTGCTAGGTGTCCCCTTATTCCAAGTATTTTACTTTTGGTCCGTGCGTTGACCCAAGAACCGCCACGACTGGGGTACGTTGCGAGGCACAGAGCTGCCATCTCTCCTCTTCACGTGCCCAGCTCGGCTCGATCTGTCTCGTTCTCGTGACCAAGTGCCACCGTCCTCTGACGGTCTCACATCACATGGTGGTGGTTACGTGGATGGCATGACGCCCGAGTTCGGAAGACGACTGACTACTGACTACGCTAGCAGGGTTTGGGTTCCACGTCACCATGTGATGTCTTCGTCGGAGTGTAGACTGATTGAGAATCAGACTCAGACTGCCCTTCAGAAAGCAACCCACCTGGCTTCTTACGACGTTGAGTTTCTCCGTCGTTCGTCGAGACTGGCGTCGAAACGTCACGTCGTCCGGTGGTCCCCGAGGCAATGCCCTCCTTCCTTCCAGCTGCAGGCCTCACACGCCAGAGCTGGCTGTGTGGCGATCTTGTTAGGGTCCTTATATCATAGACCCACTAATTTAAGTATAGACAGTTAATGAGAGCATCTAGATTCCCACTAATTACTATGTATTGGACACCGTGCTACTTATCTATTTGGGGAGACAATTTTTCTCTACCAAGAGTTGGTTGCCCACTTCCATGATTGTTGCAGGGAGGGTATGTTTTGATAATTCTAATCATTTTTGATCACTTGCCTTTCAAAAACGACCCAACAATACCCAACACGGACGACGAGTCTATCGGGTTTCGTAGACTCTACGGTTTCGACGATGAACTCGTTTCCGATTCTTCGATCCGGGATGACTGGCGTTTGGCGTTCTGTTCCCACGTGGCGGGGGATGAGCTGCCCAGGTCCTGAAACTCAGTGTTTGCCCCTCCTCAGCAGACTCCACAGACAGACCATGACATCGAACTCGAGTTCACCACGATCCTGGAGCCCGAACATGGGACAAGCAGCTCGAGCAACTTAACCAGAGAACCCTGTGATCAAATTTCTGAGAGTTTCAGAAGACTCATGGACACGGATTGGTGACCCAGAAGCAGATCGACAGATGGACACAACGTGAAACTATACACTACACTGCACTCCTTTGTTTAAAACCGTGTGGATACTGCACTTTTTGACACACCGAAATGGACCACCCTCTAACCCAAACACTCCGTGATATGTGTTACCTACATTGCATTGGTTTCAGGGTCCATGTAAGTTTATATTCCACATTTATATGTATATGGAGTGCTTGGATAATCAATGACCATTGCAGCAACGATTTTGCCACTTCCATAATGAGTGGAGAGGCAGAGCCTGTCGTCCGAACATGGCTTGTTGCTGTACCCGGCCAGGTCCGAGGCTTCTACGAGCGGGTCGGCTTGGCTTTGCTGGGGCCAGGGGCGCCAGGGGCCTTTCGATCTGGATCCGGGAAGTTTGAAGCAGATTGGGGATTGATGTGGGAACTCTTAATGATATGTCAACCCAAAAACATGAGGCTGTTCAATCGGAGGGGATGGTTTGTGGGGGCACCCGCCAGTCCGCACGTCGAAATGGAGGGGGTTTATTAATCAAGAGTCTAGGATTAACATATATAGGTTGCAAAATAGAACCCTTTCTCCACTGAGCTGCAAACAACGCTTAGAAACATCCAAGGACATACTTCAAAAAAGGAAACCTTGGATTTGCAACATGTTGTAGACACATCTTGGTGGAGGCTGAGCCTTTGGATGGACTATTTTAGACGTTTTTGGACTGCAGACGGTGGTGATGGTGAGGTTTCACATGGTTTCACAAACGCATTTTTGGCCATATGATTGATGGTGTCATCCAGCACCAAGATGAGTCATCCAGC